TAAGTCGCCAGTCAGAACGTCACCTCAGACCTCTAGCCTGTTGCCTAGTATAAAGTACGATAGCCTCACGTCTTCGCAAGTGACCCATTGTCAGCCATCGCAGTCTCAAGCTAATATAACTTTTTATCCAACATGAACCATTATAGTTTTTAGCGGCTGCATACCAGCTCACTCAGGCATAGTCGCTGCGTACCACTTCAGTCTTACACAGTCTCTGCGCACCAGTTCAGTCTTGTACAGTTGCTGTGTACCAGTTCGGTCTTGTACAGTCGCTGCGTGCCAGTTCAGTTTTACATAGCCGCTGTTAACCACTTCAGTTCTTTACAGCCGCTGTGAACCACTTCAGTCCTGCAAAGCCGCTGTGAACCAGCTCAGTCTTGCATAGTCGCTGTGTACCAGTTCATTCTTCCACAGTCGCCGCGTACCAGTTCAGTCTTACACAGTCGCTGCGTAACAGTTCAGAGTCAAGTGGTACACACATGACTCAGTCGCTGTGTAGAATTTCACTCTTGCACAGCGTCAGCTACCCACTGTACCCATACAAGGAAACCGCAAAAATTTGACCTGGAGAACCACTGGCATCTCCAGCAAACGATGTCTGGCAGAGCCGATGCTGTTCAGATTCAGAATTGAGATTGCGACCTCGAGAGGGAAAACACGAAAGCAATCTCCTTTGGAAAAATGGAAATTTGGTAACATCAGGTTTGCTGCTTCAGGTAATCACGACAATATGAAATTGTTCCGGCGGAACAGAAAGTAAGTTAGATTTTAGCGGTATTTACACCGAATGATGCTACAACATCCTGGATATACCTTGGCGAACCTACACAGCACTACAGTCTTTGGTGTAGATTGAAATGGTAGCGGGATGATGGCCTATTTCAACCAAAGAACATTACCGTTATCGTGGAATTCGTTATTTATTTTTAATCAGAGCGAGAAAATTCCATCAAACCTATGTATAAAAACTTGAGAAGCGAAGTACATTATAAAACCGAACTCAGCTCAATGAGTCGTATAATATTTGTTGTTCTTCACTTTAATGCGATAAGTTAAAAAAAATGTTTTATAAAATTATAAAAAAGTAAATACAATTCATTTGAGATTTGGCACAATTTAAATTTTCGATGAAAAATACAGAAAGAGAATAAATGGAGATCAAATTTATTTCAGCATGTCGTCTATTTATATAAGATAAATATTTGACTGCGCTCCTTCACAAGCTGATACTATTTTGAGTTCGTTATTTTGCAGCAATATTTCTAAGCTCATGCTAATGTAAAATTAGAAATGCTATTGTCGTTACTTTCTCCATTTCAAACCCACGCGAATGTAATTATGTATAGAAGATACAGCTCTCATTTCTGCAAGCAGTGCGCTGAAGTCGCTCATAACTTCGTACATAACAATAAAGTATTTCAAGTTAAGACGGTGAGCCAACTCAAATTAAAGCTCTGTTTTAAAATGAAGAAAAAAGAATCATACAGCTGCAAGTAACACAAACTGGGTTGCTCTTAGTCGGGGTTTCAGCTGTCACGATGGGCAGATTTATTGCGTCAGTCTCGACCAATTGCTGGCCGGACAAGCCAAGAAATGCGCGCTCTGCCTTTAAGGTCCCAACTGCAACAGGCGGCGGTAGGGATTACATGTGAGTGCCTGGTTTGGACACAACTTGGATTTCTCTGGAGACCAGCCGCAGCGAAGTTTTCCCATCTAAGAAGACGTGCAGGTCATTTTTAATGTGCAAGTCAGTGTATATAGTTGCCTCCATTCCAGGAATTCTCAGGCGCCCATAGAACGTTCCGGTACATCAGGCATTTTAATTCATTAAGTGACACGACGAGATAATTTTCTCGTTGATCTTGTGTTCATTTGTCGTTGACAACAAACATGCCCGTCTACCGTGGACGGCGCTGGAGGAGAAACCAGAAAAATGATCCCTGCTCGTTTTTGTGACTCACGCGCAAGAAACTAATGTCAAGCAGAGGAAAAATGAGCTAAATTCTGAGCTGCCATAAAGATTACTTCATCTGCTCTGCCTTTGTGGACAATGAAAGTATGCATGATGTGACAGCAAAAACATGCATGCATTTTCCTCGTATACAGAAGATATTGCATGGTGAGCATGCACTTATATTTCCAACAACTAGGAACAGTTTTCAAGAGAGTATATATTATTGCAATACTATTTGAAAGGCTTCTAATTATTATTACTATCATTATGACGTTTTACAGGAACCGTTTAGTGCACATTTGGCAATTTTAGGCAATTTATAACCAGTAAATTAAATTGTTTGACCTTTTCGATAATATTGGCGGCCAGCGATTTCCTATTCGTTATAAAGAATTTTTTATTTTTTATTATTCGTCATTCATCCATTTATGTTAACAATAACATGCACACTAGCTTTTGAATTCGAATTCTGAATGTATTTCCGCAACGCAGTTTTGAATTTCCTGCAGTCAGCCTGAGTTTTGGTGCTTTCAGCCCAGTTGTAGTGCTGTCAGTCGCAGCAGAAGAGCCGTCAGATAAAACCCTGCTTACTGACGTTTTCTCAAGCCATGCTCAATAAGATCCTTGCTTACTGTTCATTGTAACCGCACACAAGTCTTTGCATTTTTATATTTCAGTACTTTTTTCTGCAGACTGCATGTTCCATGGAGTACTAGCCAATTTTATTTATATAATTAATAACATACAAACTCAGTTGATTAAAAAAAATGTATCATTGGAACAACATATTCATTTGGGAACGACAGCCGAGAAAATCGAAAGCTGACTCCTTCCGCAATTGCACATCTGAAACAATATCATAATAGAATTAATTCAAAGTTAAATTTGTGTTGGTTGCCAAATTTGCTAAAATTATGAAGCGTCGTTTTCCTAAGTTCTGAAATACCAAACATGTTGATTCGAAACCATTCAATCACCTTCATGAAGATGTGGCCGCAGGTTGCAGTTATTATTATCTATTTCTTCTCATAGATGCACTGGATACTGGTCCATGCAGCCCCTTGCCTTAATAGGGTCTAGTTTGTGTCCACTAGTTTTGTAACATCTGAAATGCAGGTTGCGGTTCAGATGTTACATTCAGATGTTGCAGGTTGATTTTCTGTCTGCCACCTTAATCTGTCAACTTCTGCAGGTGCGGACAATAAATAACCAAGTGCAATCTTGAAGAAGGTTTCATTAATCACCCGTAATTGCCCAAAAAAAGAGTCCTTGATATTTTATGGTACTGATAAAAAGTATATTTCTTCGTGGTTGATCTCACGTGCCGACTACACTCAGACGAAGCTTGTCTATGTGATGAAATTGAATTTCAGCTCATGACTTCATTTAACATCAAGTTCAGAATTGCCTACAAACTCTTCAAAAACAAACTCATTTAGAGTCCTGGAAACTTTTCGAAAGGCCTGCAAACTAAAAAATTCTACAAGAAATTAGGTTACGGCAACGAGCTAAGAACCGAAAAAGTTGGCTACTCGAGATTTTTGCTATTGCAAACACACTTTTTGTTCCTTTGACGAACAAAATGGATTCATTCCCAATTCTTCTCCATAATTAACTGCCGAAGGAATGCTTATCAAGGAAAAACTCAAATTAACATAGACTAATAAAGTACAACCCTTGGAATAAAGTCACTGAGCCAAGAAAATGTCTCCATTTTTTCCCATCGCCCGCTTCGTTATTCAAATATGTTTAAGAGTCAAATGACAGCGTCGATGGAAAATCCAATAGAAATACCTTTCAAAAAATCCCGTGCTTAAAGTTATGCATTGTTTATTAATGGAGAAGTGCATTCCTCACACGGTAAAATCTAATTTGTTTTGAAAGTTTTGTTATTATTTTCAAAGAATAAAGCGCCAGAAATAATATAATACTAGTCAGGATTTCATCGCTTTCGTGACGTAAATGTGTAATTTCAGTTTAATATTTTATCGTTGCAGCCACAGAATGGAATGGTTAATTTTTTTCTTTTTTTCATTTTGTTGGTACTTTCTCCTGAAGAAGTATCAATATACCGCCATCCCATAAACAAATTGATTAAAATCGTTGCACATTAAAATTCTTTGATAAATTTTTTGATGTGAAAACTGTTGTAGACCAAAATTAATTCGTGAATACACAACTTTGTCATTAAGTTGCAATGGCTGGATGTTCACTTCCAAGATTTACATGCGATCAGCTCAGGTTACATCATCATACAAATAGCCTAAATTCAGACAGGAAATTAATGTATGAATTAGTAATTGGGTTATTTATGCTGCATTCAAACAGTACTATTAATCTGCGCATTACAGCCTTAAAGTATCAATGATGTTAGACTTTATTAAAATCATTATTACTAAGCTTAATACGAGATAATAGCGAGTCACGGTTAATCGTTTTCTTAATAAATCACCCTGGAAGCGATTTTGTTTTGAATACAAGTCTACGACACGAGTAGAATGTGAAAGAAAATCATCCGTCCAAATGAACTTCGTGTGTTAATTAGTACGGTGAACACAGTCGAATGCCGTAGTATGGAAGAGGAATATAATTATTAAATAAGAAATTTGGCCCAAGGCTTAGCTAATAGACGCCTTAGCTTATAGGCTTAGCTAATATGCTTAGCTAATAGACGCCCTTAGCTAATAGACGCCAAGGCTTAGCTAATCAACGCCTTCAAAAACAGACTAGACGAAGCTATGCAGGAGCATATGTTCAGTCTTAAAATGCCTAGCAAATTACGGACCAGGCAATAAGTCCAGCAGCTATCTCAAACAATCGTCAGTTATGGAAAGATCGGGTTCCAAAGGCCGGATCCCTTGCGGAATCAAGTCACGGAAAATTCAAGAATCGGCAACAGGCCATGGGCCTATTTCTTCAGAGCCGACACTTCTATTCTATTCTATGTGGAAAACGTTTCCGATAAATTGCAGCACTCTATCGACTAAAACAAGGGTTGAGTCACTCCAGTGAAACATCAAATAAGGGAAATATTCAATATAGAAGAAATCATTTTCATAAATGCTAACTGCAAATCAGAGCTATATTTTTTGTCATTTCAGATAATTGCGATATGAGTAAATCAGAGAACTAAAATAGTAGTTGAGAAATCCAGCACTTGTTGAGAGTTAAGAATGATATGGTTACCCACCATACCATTTTCTGGAATCAATACTGAGAAAATTAAGTCTTCAGGTATGACCTCATCAATCTAGGGGACGAAAAAACTACTCCACTCAAAGAAATTCGTGTAATTCAAATTTGAATGTTTTCCACCCATTTGTAAATAATACATTAGCGTGAGCGATAAAATATCCGTCAGAATTGATATTGTATTCTCACTGTTTTACGATTGAAGCTACCGATAAAATAAAAAAAATGTTATAAAATAAAAATTGCCTGTACAGTAGAGATTTTTTTGGATGAATAATTTACTGGGGACAAGAAGTTTCAGCTCCGGCGTCACTATTCACTTACAGAGAAAATGTCTAAACATTTACATTGACAATAAAATGTTATTCCAGATGTTTGTTTGATACGCACCGAGGTCCGTTTATTTTCTTCAGTTGTGATGAAGAACGATTTGGATAGTAAAATGTCAAAGTTCAGATTATGTAACGTACAAATAGTAAAATTGAGAAATGACAATACAGAAGGCTGACGAATGTCACATTCTACGTGTATAGTGATTACGGTACCACTTCCTGAACAGCGTTTTGTTGAATAACAACTTAGTGCAAAAACCTAGGTTATACGGAAAAGAACCACTCGTATTAAAGCATCTTAGATTCTTGAAGATATTATAAACTGACTGTAGTCAACGATGTACAAACTGTAAAATTGTTTATAACGACTTTAAAACCTAAACGCACCGTTGAATACTTAAAACAGTGGGGGAATTCATTTACTCTCCGGCTACACTTACTGTGAATGATGAATTATTACGAAACGTTATACATTCGAGACCTGATATTCGTCCAAAATGTGTTGTACCGCTGCACCACAGTGGCTCTGAAATGAAATACAATGAATAGCGTGCTTTTATACTAGATATACACTCAAAAAAAATGTAACTCAGATACCCACTGCAGTGAGTGACAGAGAGCGCATTTTCTCGTCGACGAAAACTTGAGGTCACGGACAGACGGACAGACAGACAGGCAGACGGACGGACGGACATGGCGAGCACAATAGTGCATTTTTTCCATAACTGAGAAAATGCCCTAAAAACGAACAGGTCGTATTGTGACAAACATTTGCTCGTAGCTCTGATATGACATTTTTAAATAAATTTATGTCAATATGGCCCACACCAAGAATGGCTATTTGAATTAAAATGAATCACTATTTGCACAAAAATGCATCGTTAATTGTACAAAGTCTCACTCATTTCTTTGAGTGTGGAATTTATTACTTTATTTATTAGCGAATTAATTTATTAGCGAGATGACAGGAAAAGTTAAACCAAATAATTTGAATTTGTTCAGAATATTCCAGGCACTCGAGTTAAAGGCGAATCAGGCTATAATTAAAAATAATTATATTATTGATGGTTACGTCAAGCTCTGGTATTTTATACGACTCACTGAAATATCACAGCCCCGCGATGCTGAAGAGGGACCCACGTCATCGAAACTTGACGCTTATCCTCGGGACTTTTGTGCGACACTGAATTCTGCACGAACAAAAATTACCCTGAATTTTTTCTGTATGCGTACTTGAAATATGTAATTGAAGAGGAAACTGATAATTCTAATGAACAATTAGAACACCTAGCGAAAAGTCATTACGAAATGTGCAACGAATATCTTATTTGAATAAACTTTAACAAGTAATATGATAGAGGCTATCGGAAGTGCATAACCCGTATTTAATCCGTATACTTACACCCTCTTCGTCACAGCGCAGAATTTGTCCATCGCCTTGCACGCTCAAGAACTTGCCGACCCTCTGGTCGTCTTTGTCGCGGGCCTGCAGGAAGAAGCCGCGAAAGGTTTCCGCCTCGGAAGTAAGCGTCACTACCGAACAAGAGGCGCGTTTAAGAATTGTGGTGGAAAATTTATTGTCAGGCCTGCGAAATTGAAAGTATTGAAAATATATACCGTCTATATATACCGATATGCCGTCTTATTTGAAACATGTAATCATGAATAAAAAAACTAAATTTTAATGGGCCGCAGCGCTACGTGTGACGCTGCAGTAATCCTTCCTGTGTGCTGTCAAGTATGAAGTAAGTTCACTCACATAATCAAGGGTTATTGTAGCGGTTCAGGAGTAATTCTAATTATCAAGTATTTGTAGCAAGGCAGGGTGACCCAATGGTCAAATTTCAGAGTAACGCAACTGGTACAGCGAGTTGCGGGTTCAATCCCAACTTCCTGTGACAGCTGTGGTCAAATTGGACGAGGTGACTGGGTGGTCAAGAACCGGCGACAGACCTCTATGGCTGTCGCCGGTTCTTACAACGCTGACACTGTAGTATAATAAATAATATAAGTTCTGGGTTTGGTTACCTCTGATGGTGTTATTATCTTCCTTGCTGGCGTGGATGACGAACGGAGATCGGCTGCGCTGCGGTCCGAGGGTTAGGTGAAGAGGATACATGCTGTCGCATGCAAGACTTACGCTACCGCTGCTGAACCCTAAGCTTTCGCCCACAAAAAGAGTGACAGCTAGAAACACGCACGCAAGCAACGCGGCGTGTACACGGGGCATTTTTTCAATTATTAAGTATCCTTTAATTATCTACCCAAATTTAATCAAAGTCCCAGCCAATACAAATTTAATAGGTCAAAGAAAGCTTCCCAGGATCCACATTGACAACCTGACGTAAGTAATAGCTATTACCTGGAAATCATGCTATTTTATTTCAAGTCTTTTATATATTTCATTGTAACGTGTGTTCCTATGTGAATAAATAAATAAGTCAAAAATCAAAATAAATATTGCAGATCAGCAAATGTGCGCACAGAAAAGAGTTACTTCAGACAGCGCTACTGTTGAGTGCACCGTCTGCATCCACACTGAAGGCTGGAACCCGGCTGTCAGCTCTCCATCCAGTTTGTTCGTTAAACAATAGAGTAAAAAATACCCTAATATATACGCAGTGCTTGGGAAACAAACCTGGCCAGATACACAACTAGAATGGAACTGTAAATCAAGTGACTTTCTACCCCGGATAAGGTTAGAGGCAGAAAGAGAAATCGTTCTAATGTCTTAAGACGAGGTGTAGAAAGTAAGAGTATCGAAGTGATGTGAATACAAATTATTGGACAATATTCTGCTTGAAGCATCCTAATGAGCCTTAACGAGATTATTCAGTTTATCGACTCGTTAACTGGCTTGTGTCGGGAAACAGACAAAAAAAAAATTATATAAAAATAATAATTGTAACAATTATTTCTTGCAGCAACATATGAATGTACTTGAGTGTTCAGGTATCAAATAATAAAAATTTATATTTTTAATATTGATTGTTCGTCATTCTCGGCTTGCATTTATAATCGAATAAATCTGCCTCTTAGGTATAGAAGTAAATAGAATATCCGACATTTATTTATCAGGTTGAGTGCGGCACGCCCAACGGCCAAAAACGGCCAAATCTGCGGACAAAAAAGGCATATAATTCAATATTTACGAATAAATTTGTAGGTTCCGGTGCAAAAATAAATTCTCATTTTTTTCGCACTCCTTGAGATTTAATAAAAAAGTACCGACATCATAAATTTTTGTGAGACAACGCAATTAAAAAAACACTGAATCGTGGACTTAATCCGGAAAAAAAAGACCCTACAACCCACCGGCGAGTCTTGCCGAACTCGAGGTGTTAATAAAAGTGAAATGAAACGCTAAAAATTTTAAAACCCCTCTTAGTCCAGGTTTTAATTTTTCTCATCCATTTAAAAACTTTGAATATTAAATCAACCATCAGTGTAACCATTGGAATGTTTAAGTAATCGGTACCAAATCTCCACGTCGCTTGTCAAAGGTTAAACGCTTACCCCGCCGCCTCGTGCAGATCTCACCACTGCACTGCAATGAGGCCGCGGACTTGAAAGAAAACTCGTTGACCTGATGACATCCTGCGCAGTTCAAAGTGAAAGCAGGGACAATTTCCTGTGAATTTCTTCGGTCAGTTTGCCTTAATTGCTTGGCAGCGTTTACTGGAATTGGTTTGCTGGCGTCCTACTAGACGAGTCAGTCGAAGAATTTACTTTTCTTCGGGATCTCTGTCGGCTACGGTCAACGATTTTTCATTTAAGTAAACATTTCATCAAAATTTGGTTTAGTGAATTCTAAATTTTCCGTAGAATTATTTCTACCCAACAGAGTATGTATGACAATTGTCTGACTTTTGCCATAATACAGATTTTATTTTAGAAATCATGCGACGTTGTACAGTTATGATCAATTTATCATTATAGGTGCAATTTTCATTGTACATATATATACATTTCATTTTATAAAAAAATTTGAAAAAATCCCTGAAATTTGTAGAATTTTCTAAAAACTCTAGCTATTAGAAGAAAAGGTTTCAGGAACTCGTACTGCTAAACCTTAAATAAGTGGAGGAATACCTCATCACATTCGAGGATTCATAAACAACACACAGAAAACTTCATGCCACATCTCTATTTGTCACGTGGTTCACTCACCTAATTGGGAGGCAGGTAGGAGCAAGCCATGCAGCTTTCTCACTGCTAATGTTGCACCTAAATTGCATGGGCTCTTTCATATTTAATCCCGGCTCACTTAGAGAGCCCGACCTTGTCTGACTCTTTATTTATCACCAGTCCAGTTCTATAACGACTTACCTGTGTACAGCAAATAGGAAATAATAGCATGTTAACTACACTAGTACAGATAACGACACTCCCGTCCCAAGTCATTGAGTGCTTACTACTGGAAATATAAACATGATATGATATTTTATTACCCATTTTATTCTGCAAGAAGTAAATCTTTGGTTGCAGAAAATCAATATGCAAAGCAGTGTTAACAAGAATATTGGCATCAAAGAAGTTGATTTGCAATTACTTGATTTAAAAAAATTACTTTTTATTTCACGCTAATTTAATGTAAGAAGTTTTTCTGGTATGAACCAACTGCGTACCGCCTTATTTTCATTCCATCTCTATAAACAAATTTATTTGCGGAAGTGACGACAACTTATTTCTCCAGAATTTGTTTCCCTGCGACGGTCATTAATAAATAAATTACAACTTGTCGCGACGGAGATTGCACGAGGTTATTATGATTAAAAAATGAAGGAAAATAACTAATTTAACCACTAACAAAGTAATTGTTATCCTGAGGTTTAATGTAGCGATTATATAATATGGATACATGTATAGCTAGCTACACAGCTAATATAATGCATTTAAATGAGATGCAACGGTATCAACATGGTACAATGAGGTAGATTTTGCAACTTCATCGTCATAACATTGATTACGAAACATGAAAGAAATAAACGTGTGAAATATTTTGGAACACTACTTCACATTGTGAATAAGCTTAGGTAATTTAAGATATGTGACTTGATGTCGTTAATGTTGCAAAGCAGACTTCACTTGATACAGAAGCTTCATTTAATAGTTTTTTCTTTAAAAACCATTTGAATTAGGTCTTCACTGGAAGTATCTGCACGGAGCCTCATTTCATGGAAATTTTACTTGGTATGTCGAAGAGATGCAGTCCACATAAAATGATGTAGCAAATAGAGCCGGGCTGTATCTGGAGGAGGTTCAGATAGAATAATCGATGCAAGTCTCAGCGTTGACGGGAGATTGATGACCTCGAAAGGTATATGTTGAAACGTGGATGCTGCATTGAAGCACTCGAAAATTTGGAACTCTCCTTTCGACATCGCGTCACCTGTATTTTGCAAAGTTAACTTCTGATCAGTCGCTCTATTCTCTTCTTAATAGGTCATCATTATATAATTGTCAGAGAATTGGTGGATTAAAATTTATTTTAAAAAATGAATGCATATGCCTTCGCACGCTTACAACGAAGGACGAAGTGAATCGATTAATTTCAATGCTCGGTGTCAATGCAATATATATGTGTCTATACCCATTCTTCCAAATAAGTCATGACAATTATAGTTCCAATTTTGAATCACTATGTGCCGTTAGTTGCGTGAAAACTAATCCAAATTAATCTATTAAAATCATTGGGTGACTTTTTACAACGAGATGCACATATTTCCCTGCAGCCTTAATTTTCGTTTTTTTAATCAGCAAACGACTCGAATCAGCAATTTGCGCTCTCGAATAATATTTTTGACGCACGTCTTCTTCTAAAATATCCCAACCTCATTATTCTTACATGTGAGAAGAACCTAAAATGCTTCCTCAGGCCTTGGCTTGTGATAAACAAACTGTGATATCTGTAGTCATTTTCGGCAGCTGCCCAAGACAGCGAGCAAAAATTCTAGGAGCCAACCTTTAACATCAAAAGAGCAGAATCGCTTTTCTTGGACAAGAAGAATACAAGGCTGGCGATTTAGTGAACAACAGTGCCAAAATTGTTTGATCTGCCTCTTTTAAAATCTGTTACGACGAACATCGATACATTCCAACCACTGTAGTCCTAAATTATAGGTAAATTATAGGAGCCACCACGAAGCTGAGTTACAGTAACATGCCATCATCATAGCCCCCACAAATCAAGCAGTAGCGCACTTAATGCAGGTTAATATAACTAATTGCACAACATTAAATATGAACAGCGTCATAAATTCAGCAAAAGGGTGGAAGTCAGCACCTCGTTGAGACTTGACGAAGCTGTGGTGCAGGGAAGATTATTGTGATCACTCTGTCTGAGTGGCTGACCGATTAAATATTGTAAAACCACAATCTAAGGAACAATTTCAAACGTAAAAAAAATGAGAAACTTTAACAAAATTTCTTCCGAAGCATCAATTGCGAATGATGCTTATTTACTTGGAAGGCTAGTTCAATACACATTTATGTCGAATTAAAAATAATAAAAACTGCTAAATAAGTAAATGAACAGCATTTTAATGTAGTGATTCTGTGTGTTGAAGCCTCTCAAAGGAAAAGTCCTAGAAGCGAAAACAAACTTCGAAACAAATCTCTAAAATGTAAATTAGATTTTCCACAGCCCTGACACAGTCTAACACATTATTACAGCATTAAATGTGCAATGTGCATGCCTGTTTACTTCCACGAATCACTGCAAAATTTATTCAAATTTGAAACTCTGACATATCACGGCTTCTATTCTCTCAGATAAGCAGGAGTTTAAATTCAGCAAAAATTTTCTAGCAGTAAACACCAATTATACCTTAACATTAGGGTTGCTATTTCTGACGATTCAAATTGCATGGCAACAGGTTGTATTTTTCAGGAATAGATGTTAGAAAATAATTATAAATTAAAATTACCGTCTGTATGTGTAAATAACCCTGTAATTCTCAAGATTTTCCTTGAAATTAATTCACTAACAATCTATCATCCAACCTACGAATTATTCAGGAATAATGAGAGCTCAGGTGAGCTATAGAAATATCACCTCAATTACTATAATTGTCTGACAATAAGTCTCACGTAACAGAAGCACTCGTATGATTTGCTGAGCGGGTCCTAAATTACGCTCGCAAATTACGATGCGCCAAGAATGTTCTCAAAAATATGAGACAACGCGGCTGAATATTCATACAAAGAGACGGGCGAGATTCGATTGCAAGAGATTCCTCGCCAAATTTGAAGGGTGCCGTTAAATTGGAATATCCTCTTATTTCAATGATGAGATTTCAGAAACGTTGAATGTTAGATGATGCATGTCCAAAGTAAATTGTTAAATTCCGCATAATGAAACATTTATCTGAATTGACACATTTTGGTACGTTCCAAAAATCAATTATTATCACCGGC